TATATATATATGTGTGTGTGTGCGTGTGTTTTGTACAGTGGAAAAAATTACAAACAAAAATCAAAAACACTCTTGGCCGAACGTGGACGGAACATGCCTTACAAACCTGCGTGCTGAATTTATTAAGCAGAGACAAATTAATAGGATATAAGCAAGCTGATTTTTGCGATCCACGATATACCGCACTCCTGCATTACGCCAAGCAACATTTGCCCAATAATTCGGAAGTAAAGGTACAAAAAATTGTGCGAGAAAAAAATATTGATTCTTATAGAAGATACAAGCCATAAAGCTAAAAACTTCACAGCTCTCGGAAGATATTACACAGATATTAAGAACGGCATTAAGAAGACCGAAAAGAAAGGATATTTATCCAGAACAGAATGCCTTGGCTCCTGTTATTTTTCAGGTAGAACTGCTGTGTTTTTATAGTAGAAAATAAATTTTAGCGTGCAAAAACATTCGACTTGCACATTTTCGTTTGACTGTTATTGTATTTACTATTGAATTTTATTTAATTTATATATAATTATATATTATGTATTATCATATATACATATTTATATATAATTCAGAATAATATAATTTCATATAATTTATAAATTGTCTATTATATCATATTTGAATTATCTAAATTTTTAACATTATTTATAAACATTTACTGTACACACACACACACACACACACACACACACACACACACACAAAGTAAGATTATTTAGAAATTTTGAATTTAGTATAATATAGACTTGTTTTAAGAAAAAAGGTAAAAGAAGATGTAAGATATGTTTCGATCGTTTCTAAATGCCTTAATTAATGTTTTGATGATTTCTCTACCTAGTATTACGGATTAGAAGACATGAGATTTAATCAGATGATACTTTATATGGCACGGACTCTGGGAGCGATCGCCTCGATTATCTGGACGAAGATTGTGAACGCGCCTATCGAGCACCCGATATCAAGTTGCACTTACAACTATGTAGAATCAGTTTGCGATAACGGCACAAAGAATCGAAAACGTAGGACACGAAAGTAAATAAAAGCAAAACGCGTACAAAGGCTCACTTGTCAAAGTAAATCGATCTTCGAGCTCAGTGATCTTTATTTCTCAAAGTTTAACTATAATTAACTATAATTATTGATTATCAATTATTCGTCAACTATTTTCCGCTATCGCGTATGCTTGAAATAAATTGTTTTAAAAATGTCATTTGAAATTATTCCAGGTAGAACACAGAAGTCATAATAATATTCATCATTATGATATGTATTTGTCACATTTACTCAAGAAACATACAAGTCAACAAAAAATCATAATTAACTTTCATGACGTCAAAATAAAATCATTTTTGACTTTCTCTTAATGTGAATGTACATTTATTTTTAGTATCAAATAACGTCATAATAATCTATAATATTATGACTTAATTTATGACTCTGTGTTTTACCTGGAATTATATAAATGTAATATATGTAGATACATAATATTTACCTTCAAAACAGATGCCTTGGGCAGAGAGAGAAAATTGCATTTTTTTTAATTATCTATTACTGCGAGATTTTTAAAATAAAAAGTATGTTGTTGTCACAAAGTCGCCAAAGCATTTTAGAGACACGTGCCGACCTCTATACGTCAATCTTAGTACTTTCGTAATAACGCGCGTAAATGCGGTGATAATGCAGGTTTCTCATTTCAGTGCTGACGCAAATAAAAAATATATGGGAAAATAACAGAAACGGTATCTAATGGGGCTACTCCCCGACTGACCCGACTCCTTCTCGACAAGACGGGAACTTTAGGGGCATGCTCGAGTACCGTTGTTAATTCAAAGAAAGAAGAACTCGCCTCAAAAGGACATGGAAGGGGATCGTATCGCGAGATACATCAGAGAGTACCTACATTCAAACGCGTGGATCGTTTTTAATACGCGTGCTCGAGCAAGGTCCAATCGACGTCGTACAGATAATCGCGTGTAGAATGGCGTGATACGACGTGTACTCGCGCTTCGAAATTATGACAGACAGAACTGACGGAAGGTCGCCGACGTGAACGCTCCAAAGAAATCTGAGTCGCGCAAACCGAAATTCTGTGTCGTTTTCGCGAACTGAGGATTGTACGGCTGAAGAAATGAAAATCTCTCGATGATCGTAGCGGGATCTGCGTGATTACAATCTTTCACAAGGTATATCTATAGAATTATATATTTATCTCGGAAATCATTGAAAACAAAAGGGCGACGTATATTCTTTATGATTTTTCTCTTTACATGTATGTTACGATATTTATCGTATTTATTTTGTTGGAGATATACGAGCGACATATGTGACATAAAAGCGAATTAATGTTTAATTAGAGGTATATCGATTTTGAAACTGAATTTGACAACTTTTGGCATAAAAGTAGAGGACTGATAAAAATCGTGATGATTAAGGATGACATCCAGCTGACAATGATGACATCAGACATGTCTGAAGGTTAGAAAATCTGTTGTATCGACATATCATAAAAATAATACACGAAATATGAAATCTAGTACAACCCAAGCAGAACAACAAGTCATTATTATCAAAATGATGTCGTAATAATTCCAAAATGATCGTTAAAAGTTATTTTTCAATCATTCCAGATTCATTTTAATGTCATTTGACTTTATCGTGATTATTGTTTTGCTTGGAGAATGAAGAAATAAAATGAAATTTAGTATAAATTCAGTAAAAATCTATAAAATAGAGCAATCAACAAATAATCTATAGAATATTGCTAACATAGATTGAATAAGAAATTCTGTAAAAAAAAAACGAAAAAATAAAACCAGTTATGAGTTTTGAAAGATGTATTCTATCAGTGTAATTTAATTTCAATCTCAATTCAATTAACTCATCTTTTTAAAATTCTGGAATTAGAAAAAGATGAAAAGTAATCAATTAAATAAAAATTAAAGTTAATCTACATTGATAGAAACGGGCATTATAGAGCCATATTTATATAGAAAGAATAGAAATCCATAATTTAAATACAAATACAATAATAATAATCTTGCTATTTGCCAAAAGCCAGAAAAAAAATCTGGAAGTTTATTACGGTTCTTGAAACGAAGTGAAAATTACATAAGTGAGCAAATTTACAAAATATTTATAACTTTATTGGTCAATTTGATTAACAGTGAATCTGCTTATTTTTATAACTTTCACTTCGTTTAAAAAAAAATGTTATAAGTGTCTGTTTGTTTTTAATTGCAAGAAATTCAGCTAAAAAAAAAGAATAAATTTATAGATACTTTTCTTTAAAAGGCGAGAAATATAGAATCATTTAAATATAATTAGTTGTGCAACTCTAAAATGAATTTTTAATTTTTCGCAAAGCTTCATATATCATCTGTTTTTTTTGCACAGTGAGATTATAAATCATTACTAAATATATTATAATTATATGCATATTTTACGTATTATTTTTTGTCATGTGTTCGTACATATTTCGTCGGTACAACAGATTTCTTAACCTTCTCAAACATTCTCAAATACGTCAATTTTAACAATTAATTAATGATTTTATAGTGTCGAACGAGTATTTTAATTTTTTCAAGCCTTCGTTCTTACAACTTACTACAAAGAAGCATTGAACAAACAAATTTCATCAAAAACAGTGTCCTAAATAAAAAATCAAGTGTTCTAAATCAAATATTTACTAATACATATGCTGTTCTAAGTTATTTAATAATGTACATTATATTACGCAACATTCTATATTACTTTGTTTACATTGATATTAAAAACATCTTACGAAAACATTGCACATTACATATGACGTACATATGATGTAATAAGGGGACTTAACAGTTATTGAACATTGATATAGTCACAAATTGATAAAAATATTTAAATATAAAAATGTTTAGATAAAACATGGCTGAGAATAGATCAACAGAAGAGACCACAAGCGGACATTGTGACCCAAGGATGCCACTTATATCGACGTCAAATGAAAATAGACAAGTTCAGGACTCATCAAATAATACTAGGTACACATTGGCGAATATAAGCCCTGAAACGGCATTTAACTTTGGTGTCAGAACGGCAGAACGTTCAAGAATATTCGCGGGTAACATTTCCTCCACTATTCGTCCTCTTATACAGGCAGCGGTATGTAACATCAGGATTATCAATATTAATCCTTCGCAATAGAGATCTTTGAGAAACACAGCAAATTTTTTATTCTGGATTATATGTATAAAGATCTAAAGAAAAAATAATCTGATATACTTCTTGAAGCTTTGACGAGTTTTTACCATCATAAATAATCGGATTGTATTTTACAGATTTATTTTTTATAGATTAAAATTTATTTGCTAAGGAGAATCAAACAAAGCTAATGAGAGTAATTAATAGTGCAATTAACAGTGCGCAAAGAGGTCACAAAAAAAACTGTTTTAATACATATTTATCGTGAAAATATGATCGCTTTATAATTAATTGAACGTTTCGACTCTATGTGGAATCATCCTCAGTATAATTCGATATAAATCTTTCTTATGAACTATGTTCATTCTCAATGTGTCAAGATTGAATCACTAACAAATTGCTAAATTTGAAATTGGCATAAATCTAAAAATAGAGAATACTATCTTGAAGTTTAGGATCACATTTAATCAACATCAATTTAAATTTATGTATATAATAATAAGATTAAGAACGTATTATAAAATATGCTTTCAGCATTACATCACGCACGTATAAAAAAAAAGTTTTTATATGATCTTTTTGTGCACTATTAATTGTGCTGTACTCTCATTACTTGTTTGATTCTCCTTTGTTTTTAATTTTGAGAGTTCATTTCTTAGTTTATGTTTACTTATCTGCTAAAATTTACAAAATATTGATGGTGTTTAAAGATCCCAATTGCTGATGTAGATTTCGAAAGAATATATTTAATTAATCATTTTCTTTTTGTCATAATAGCCTAACTTATCATTGACGTCACTCCTAGCCATTCCTGGACTCCGGAATCAAGTTCATCCAGCTGCGTTACCAAGCGATAGCTACGTAATAAATGTAGAGGATCCTGTAAATGATACTAATTCTCATGATGAATCTGTGCACAATCATCACCATCATCATCATCATCATCACATAGTATCAACAATGCCAAACAATTTTTCAAATAACACGCATGAAACCGCGAGTGAAGTAATCGAAAACCACAATAATAATGCCTCGGAAAATTCTGTCAATGGCAACGTTCAGATAGGTCCGGAAGCTCGGGCAATGTTGAAACAGCTTCAACAATACGTTCCTTTTGTAACCATTCTTCTCGCCAAAGGTCTCTATGATCATCGAGCCGGAATAATCACGTTTGTTGTATTGCTTATTACGTTCTTCCACGCTAATAATGGCCTCAAACGTGAAATCGCTAAACAGCATAACCGGAGTTGGTCGTTGCTCATGCTGATTCTATGCTATATCACTGCGTGTATTGTGTTCGTCGTATACACGTTTAATTTGTACACTCTCGTTCCCTATGCTGAACCACTCACGATCTGGGAATTACTTTGCTACGTCACGGTGATGGACTTCTTCCTTAAACTTATCACCATCATTTGCAAAGTTCTTTTGACTTGTCTACCGGTACGATTACTGGCATTCCAGAATCGGGTAAATATTCATTCGTTATTTCAATTTGTATTGAATATT